ATACAATAAGGGGCCTCTGCGAAATAAAAGCGGAGACCTCAGTGGGAGCGAACTCTGACGGAGAGGGAGGCTCCCCGTGTTTGTTTTGCGGCCTAGTTCCGCTGGGTTCGGGAGTGTCTTCGCTTTTGTGGTGCTGGTGTACGCAATAACGGGACAGGGTAGTCGTTCTCTCTAGCTCCCCTTCTAGCTCTTGGCATGAGCTGCGCCCTGTGTCCGACCCCTTTTGCGCAGCAACACCTTAAACTTTTAGGCCCTCCAAATTCGGGTCGGAGCGTAGCGGAGTGGGCCCCGAGTTTGAAAAGGGCGACGGACGCTTGCGTCCTAGCCTCCAACAACGCCTCCCCGGCGCAGAGGGGCCCCCGGAGGGATGCTCAACCGCTCCACGCCACGCCGCTTGCGGCGGTCCTATTCCCAGCTCCGCTGAGGGCCCCTTAACCCTTATACAATAAGGGGCCTCTGCGAAATAAAAAGCGGAGACCTCAGTGGGAGCGAACTCTGACGGAGAGGGAGGCTCCCCGTGTTTGTTTTGCGGCCTAGTTCCGCTGGGTTCGGGAGTGTCTTCGCTTTTGTGGTGCTGGTGTACGCAATAACGGGACAGGGTAGTCGTTCTCTCTAGCTCCCCTTCTAGCTCTTGGCATGAGCTGCGCCCTGTGTCCGACCCCTTTTGCGCAGCAACACCTTAAATTTCATGGCCCTCCAAATTCGGGTCGGAGCGTAGCGGAGTGGGCCCCGAGTTTGAAAACGGCGACGGACGCTTGCGTCCTAGCCGCCAACAACGCCTCCCCGGCGCAGAGGGGCCCCCGGAGGGATGCTCAACCGCTCCACGCCACGCCGCTTGCGGCGGTCCTATTCCACGCTCGCGGGGGCCGCTTCTTATTTTTTTTTGCCGAGTCAACCCGCCCTGGGGCGAGCCTCGCGCGAGACTGCGTCAGCTGCCGGCGCGCGAACCGACACAGGATTTACAATCGGCCTCGCGTGCAGTCCTGTTTTTCCGCTGGGCAATGCCGACGGCTTGTCGCACCCTCAGTCGTCGCGCCACCGCTGTCGTCAGCCGCACCCGCCACAAGTCCTCCATCATCGCGCCTGCGTCCTCGCCCAGCGCGCCGCCGCCTGGCTTCCCGAGGCTGCCACTTTTGGGGTCGCTCCCCTGGTTCTCCAATCTCAGCCTTCCCGACGGCAGCAGCGTCCAAAGCCTGGATGAGCAGCACGAGTCCTGGGCCGAGGGCACTCGGCGGCACGGTCCGGTGTGGCGCGTAGGCATCCCGGGTCTCGGCAAGGGCATTTCCGGCGACCTCACCCTCTGTGCCGACCCACGCGAATTTGTCAAGGTGCTGCAAGCGGAGGGTAAGTACCCTTACGGCGCGATCCAGCTGCAGTGGCCATTCATCGTCTGGGCCACGAAGCACGGGCGCACGGTCGGCAAGCTCTTCACGCGCAGCGAGGATTGGCGGCACATCCGGCACGGCATGCAGAAGAGCATCCTCCCGCCGGCCGCCGCGGCGGGCTACGCGGCCATCATCGGCACGACGGGCCGCGAGGTGGTCCTCAACGCGCCGCTCTGGGACGACGCGGGTTCGTTCATGTCGCGCGCCTCCTTCGACCTCTTTGCCG